AAAGCTAGAATATGCAGCTGTTGTGTGGTGCCCATATCTTAAGAAGCACATCAACAAACTGGAAAAGGTGCAAAGACATGCTACTAAGTGGCTCCCAGAACTGAAGGGCAAGAGCTACGAGGAGAGGTTAGAAGCATTAAATATGCCAAAACTAGAAGACAGAAGAAAAAGAGGTGATATGATCACTACATACAAAATAGTAACAGGAATTGATAAAATCGACAGGGAAGACTTCCGGAGACCTGGAATTTCAAGAACAAGAGGTCATAGATTTAAACTAGCTAAACACAGATGCCGAAGAAATATAAGAAAATTCACCTTCGCAAATAGAGTGGTAGACGGTTGGAACAAGTTAAGTGAGAAGGTGGTGGAGGCCAAGACCGTCAGTAGTTTCAAAGCGTTATATGACAAAGAGTGCTGGGAAGACGGGACACCACGAGCGTAGCTCTCATCCTGTAACTACACTTAGGTAATTACACTTAGGTAATTACCAAGGAGCTCTCTGGAAAGCAGCCATGTCAGTCTTCCCCAGAAAAGAAGGAGACAGCCGCAAGCGAACAAACCTATCAGGAGAACCAAAAAGAGCCGAAACCCTGGCGCCGGAGGAAAGCATGAAACACCCCGACCCGACCCCCAGAGGCCAACACCAACAAGAAAGAGCCTCGGAAAACAAACTAGAACCAAAGGGGCCACAACAAACTGAGGAGAAGAGAAGAGAGCACCCAATCCAAGAACCAGGACGGCTCAAGCGGCACAAGAGCAGGCCCGAGGTGAAGCACGCCAAAGACAGCTCGCCAATTCTTGCAGAGGAAACACCAAAACCGAAGCAACTCAGAGCGGCTCTGCCAGTGCCACATGAGACAAGGCAACCGTGTGTGGCAAGATGACGGCCCTGAACCTCCACTAGAGAAGGACAAGATCACGGCAACAAAACACAGCAAACCTACTAAGGGACAAAAAGAAAGAGGAAGGACCGCCAAAAAAGAAAACCCATACCACCCCCGAGACAAAGCACACAGATGGGACACCAACAACAAAGCCACCTGATCACCAAGAAATGGTGAGAGACTCGAGGCAGAACCGAACTAGCCCCGCCACGGACCGATCGAGCAGAGGAAGAGGCGGAGATACAGGAAAACCTCGGGTGCAAACACTGAGCAAGCAGAGCCAGAAATACAAGCCGGCAAGGAACCAGATGGAACGTCTGCCATACAGAAAACTTCCCAATGTTTGCGAGCTCGCCAGGAGATCAGAAACACTGTAGTTCCAACGCGAGACTCGTGAGAAGTGACACCACGAGATCATGAAAATGCCAACTGGCAGGGCAAGCCAGGAAACCTGGAACCCAAACCCGGCAAGCTCGGAAAGAACCAACCCGGGCGAGCAGAAACGCCTCATCCTGGAGGAACCCCCAGGGACTCGTGAAGGACCAACAAGTCTGACAACGGATGACAACCAGAAGCCGCCAGTAGAGAAAACACCGAAACGCAGATGCCACAAACAGCAAGGACAAAATTGCAATGAAAGACGAAAAGCCAGGGCTCCGACCAAGGCCAACGATGAAGCGAGCACAGCGAACCGAAACACAAAATGAAAAGCAGGGACACCGCAACCCACAGGAGCAGCGAACGCAGTCCCAGCAGGGCAGAATGAAGCATGCAATACCTGAGGAATGTATGAGGAGAACAAATCAGGACATGAACCGCACGAAAACAAAAATGCACCGCCCAAAATGGAACACAAAGAAAAAGGCCAGAGCCAGGGCCTGAAACCTCGCACCTCCCGGCCCAACGAAAAGAAACTGCAGGGGGCAGGAGAGGAAGAATGGAAGCTACAATCACCTGCATACAGGGCAACCCAGAAGCTGGACGTGCCAAACAAGAAGAAGATGATAATTCAGGACCAGAACCGAACACAGCGGCGGTGCAAAAGCATGAAACTGAGCATGGACAAAGTTCAACCTAGCATTAGTGGAGCCAAGAAGAACATACTAAAACACACAACAATGTGTAGGAGAGAATGAGAAAAAAACAGAAAAAACTACCCTGCTCAGAGGGTAGAAAAACCCCGGCAGGGGTCCAACAAGAGCTCTCCAGGAGATTAGAAACACTGTAGTTCAGACGCGAGATTCGTGAGAAGTGGCACCGCGAGATCATGAAAAGGCCAACTGGCAGGGCAAGCCAGGAAACCTGGAACCCAAACCACACTTGCTTTGATTTGGGGGCCCGAGGCCCCCTCCCCCAAATCAGCCCCTCCCAGCCCCGGGAACCTCAACGGCGGGCCCCGGAGCCAAGCTGTCCCCTCAATGCCCCAGCCTCACAAGAAAAAGCCAGGGCAGCTGGATAAACACTAAGGAAGGGAGCTCACTGGCAGACTCATAAAACACGGCTGGAGGAACAGGCTCGAATGCCTCCATCGCTACCCTGGAAGGGGAAATTCCCGAGACCGCCCGAGTCTCAAGACCATCGAAACCCCCGCCCCGACCCCAAACTCACAGACGGTGAGGATCTGGATGTAGGGAGGGAGGGGAGGGGGACCGGACTAGACCACAACAGGGGAAAGACAAGGGGGCGTGGACGGAAACAAAACCGAAGCGACCAACACCCCAAACCCCATCACAACAACCAAAACGGGGCAGCCTCGGGGCCTCCGGGGAGCAAACAACCTAACGGGATGCAACCACCTGAACCCAATGTGCAACGCCCGTGCTGCCTGCACTCGTATAGCCAGCATGAGACTGGGTAATGGAGTCACAAACAAGCAACAAAACTCGCAGGACTCCGGGTCGAAGGTGCCACCGACCCAACACGCAGCAGACGGAGGCAAAACAGTGAAAGTCACCCTGAGACAAGGGGACAGAGCAACCCTCGAACTTGCGCAAAGCGAGGGGGGGACTCAGGGGTCACATCCATCGGACCCACACGCCCCCGTGGAGATTCCCAGGGTCCTGAGACGGAACTCACGCTCAGGGAAGCCCAGGTAGGGTACTGTTAACCGGCGCCCAAGTCTACCAAACAACTTTCTGAGAATTGAACCCCCTGGGACGTGTACACTCACAGGTACCTAGCAGGGGGTACCACCTGAAAAGAATTTAGTACCCAGGAACCATACTGGGGGGTAACCAAGGCAGGCACCCCCCACCAGGCAGGTAAACAAAAAGAAAAGAAAAATCCCGCAAGAGGACAATGTAACCAGGCGGAACAGAGCCGGCCGCTATGAATGGTGAAAACAAGCTGCTCAGTACCCTGCACTCCATACCAGTGCAAACTGCCCCTTACCCTAAGGTAAACAAGGGAGATAAACCACCGTAGCACACAAAAGGCTGCCAAAAACCGAGCAGTAAATGGCCTAACAGAGGCAGAACCCAAGGAACTTGTGGAAGGTGGTCCCAAGCCCCAAGGGCAGTACTTACAGGGCACCTAGGGAAGGGAGCCCTAGGCACATGCAACCCGAGTACTGAAGAATCACTCCTGGCTCGCGCACCATCTAGAAGATAGAAACCACACACACAAGGCACAGTGCTGAAACAATCACTGGAGCCAGAGCACACGACCACAGCCTATAGGCATCAGCCTCAGAACTGGGGTGTGGATGGCCAGCGCGGGGTTCTGGGGCTCCCCTTCCCCTCCCGAGGAAGGGGTAGCTGCACAGAGTCGGCAAGCGTGTGACATCATATTCTTTTGCTCGTTTCTGTTTGGGGAATTCTATCCACTTGTTTCGGCTTTTTGTAGCAATTTACACCAGAATAGAGGTTTGTTTTGGGACGCCTACCTTTCTGGGTGCCTAACCCGGTCAATGGCAGACATAGAATGCTTCCAATCACATGGGGGTTTCTATAGGCCATTGCTCCTCGTGCCTCTGTGAAGGGGAGGGGGCCAGGTTCTGGCTCGTGGTCCTCGGTAGGCCCACAGGACTCCATACACAGGACTGATGCCAAAGTCTGACATTAGCATATCAGCCTGGATAGCTCCGGGGAGCCGACGGGGCTTCCCCCAGAAAAATATATATATATATATATATATATATATATATATATATATATATATGTCGTACCTAGTAGCCAGAACTCACTTCTCAGCCTACTATTCAATGCCCGATTTGCCTAATAAGCCAAGTTTTCCTGAATTAATATATTTACTATAATTTTTTTCTTATGAAATGATAAAGCAACCCTTTTCTCTATGTATGAGGTCAATTTTTTTTTATTGGAGTTAAAATTAACGTAGATATATGACCGAACCTAACCAACCCTACCTAACCTAACCTAACCTATATTTATAGGTAAGGTTAGGTTAGGTAGCCAAAAAAGCTAGGTTAGGTTAGGTTAGGTGGGTTAGGTAGACGAAAAAACATTAATTCATGAAAACTTGGCTTATTAGGCAAATCGGGCCTTGAATAGTAGGCTCAGAAGTGCGTTCTGGCTATTAGGTACGACATATATATATATATATATATATATATATATATATATATATATATATATATTAAAAAGCTTGATATATATATATATATACATATCAAGCTTTTTAATCTGTATTACTTTGCTATTGTTTTATGGAAAAATTTAATTATTTCATTCTTAATAATTGATATAATTAATGTTGCACTTTAAGAGAACAAAAAGAGTGTTTCACAACATTCAGAGACTTACACAAACGGTGGTCGTCATTTGGATTTTAAAATCCCACATTTCAGTATTGCCAAACATGCAATCCCAAGTGCATATCATCTTGAGAGATTCATTAGCAACAGGAAATGAAAAGACCTCATCCACTTAACTTCAGCACAAAACAATGAAATCAGGAAAATCTTAAAAGCCTTATCATAAATCGAGACACATAAGAGTAATTCCACATTAATACAACAAAAATAACATTTAAAGACAATACAACTGTATTCTCAAGCCAAAAGTAAAATGTAGAAACATTCTGAATCCATCCTAGTCAGAAGACATTTGTAGTGAAAAAAAGTACAGGAATTATTGTATAGACTTTACTTACCCCGATGGCAGGGAAGTCTCCATCCTCCTGTTGTTCATAGTCTTCAGTTGCTTTGTCTTCAGGCTGCATACCTGTGGGGTACAGTGGCAGGATATTATCTGCTGGTACACTGGCAGGATATTACCTGTGGGTACAATCTTCTGTTCTGTGGAGAACAGTGGCAGGACATTATACGTTGGGACAATTGTAAGATATTATCTGTTGGTACAATGGCAGGATATTATCTATGGATTCATTGGCAGGATATCATCTGTTGGGGACATTGGCAGGATAATATCTTTTCGGTACAGTGACATAATATATTATCTGTGAGTACAGTGACAAGACATTATTTGCGAGTACAGTGGCAGGATATTATCTAAGCATCTAGAAGGAAGAGACAGTATCCACTCTACTCCCAGGTTAGTGGCTTATAAACTAAAAGAAAACAATAATTTATTCCTGTCTGGATTCTATATAAACAATAACACCAATTATTATATATAACAATAAGACATTTTAAATAAAAATTTAAAATTGTAAATAAATTGTCTTAGATAACGGAAATTCTACATGTATTAGAAAACATTTTTCTGTGGCTTGAAATAATTAATTAAATAGAGTTGGGGCTGATTTACAGTGCGAGGATAATTGTAGTTATATTAGAAGTGACTATTGAATAAAATACCGGAAACTGGTAGTTTTGTCTACTGTGCATGAAGAAAATACCGGAAACAGCAGTACCATAAAACTGATACAGGTACTTAAAAATGATTTACATTGAACTTAATCACAATTAAGTCAATTTTTATTAACCTTTTCAGAGCATTAATGATCCAGCCCGTCCTTCTAAGGTTTCCCAACATCACGAAAATAGTAAATTTAATGTGGTCTCTCCTAACCAAAAAGAGGACCCAAAATAGAAAATGGGACAGTATTGTATGTCACGTTCGCGAGCCGCTTCCATTTTCTAATATGACAATTTTTGGCCTTGTGTAATGCATACGAGCGAAAAGTGACGTTCTTTATAGGAGGACAGGTTGATGATAAATGTTCATCATGTGGGTAGTTATTTGTTCTTCAATTTAACATGGATTATAACAATTTAAATTGCAAATGGCTACTAATAGCCACAATGGATATGGAGTTTTGTTAAACGTTCCTCTGACATGAGGACGACCTGACTTGCAATTGTGTGGGAATGTCATAGCCTGACATCGGCTATGACAACCGCATGTCAGGTCTTGAGACACCGAAGTGGGGCTTACTCGATGCACTTAAGACTACCTCACCACACATGCTATTCCAAACAGTCTACACACTCACTCACTATTCACTATTTAGAGGAGCTAAATATGTATAATGTATAATGTCCGCGGTTGTTCAACGTCCTCCCAGCAAGCATAAGAAATATTGCCGGAACAACCGTGGACATTTTCAAGAGGAAACTAGATTTATTCCTCCAAGGAGTGCCGGACCAACCGGGCTGTGGTGGGTATGTGGGCCTGCGGGCCGCTCCAAGCAACAGCCTGGTGGACCAAACTCTCACAAGTCGAGCCTGGCCTCGGGCCGGGCTTGGGGAGTAGAAGAACTCCCAGAACCCCATCAACCAGGTATCAACCAGGTATTAAATTTCTTAGTGCCACAAATAATGTTTTCAATATCTTAGTGCAATATACAGTATAATGTATTTATAATACTTAGAAAGTCACCTGTTGCTCTTAAGGAAATAAATGACAAAGTCATATTATCCTTTGACGGTACTAGTGAGGGTTCCTATACATAGCTCATATTCAAGCTTCCTATATTAGGGTTCTATAAAATGCTCCTAGACATAGTTCCTATAAAATGTTTCTCTATGGTATGTTCTTGTACAAGGGTTCTATAAGGTGTTCCTATACAAGGTTCCTAAAGAAGCTTCCTTTAGAAAGAGTCATTCAAAATGCTCCTATACATGGTTCCTATATAATAAGGAGAAGATGAATATCTTTGATCTAACCAGTACATGAATGCGGAATACTAAAGAGGGGTCATTGAAGCATATATATACTGTGGTAAGCATATATGCTTTGCATAAATTTTCCCTACCTTGCATAGGTCACTAGGCCTACTACCTGGCATGAATCCATAGGCCTAATACAATATTCATACGTTCATTCAAAGACTACACAGAAATGGTTCATGTAATCTGTACATATGAACATATTCGATACATAAGCTAACTGAACAAATCATTTAATTGTGAAATATGAACAAGTAATCATAGGGAATAATCTAACAGATAATTGCCATTAACAAGTTTTACAAGTCAAACCACACGTCACAAAATCACTAACAAGGGTTACAAATCAAAATGTTAGGAAATCATCGTTAGCAAAACTGGTAAGTTAAACTTCAGAAGAAACTGGAAATCTTGTTAGTCTCAAAAATGCTTTTTAGACAATCTCCAACTTAGAAGAAGCAAAAAAATAATAGGTTATAATATGTGTACCTCTGTTTTGTATAGATGAAAATCCGGTTTAGCACAAAGGTTATATAGAAACCAATAACGTTATCAGCCAAATCACAAGTTAAATGCTAATCAACAGATTCAAGGACTCAACAAATCGCAATTCACACGGGAAAGAAACAGGTCAGAAAATTACCAGGAGAAAGCACTAATCCATTACAGCTGCATTGCACTTACGAGCAAGGAAAAGAAGTGGGTGGTGGTAGTGGGAGTAGCAGGGTGCTGGAGGTGGGGGCGGGGGGTGTTAGTGGGGGGAGTGGGGAAGATAGGAAGGTGAATGTTAGGGGAAGGCTGGGGGAAGAGGTAATGATTGGGAAAGTCGATTTAAGACAGAGGAGGGGGATGGGGTTGGAGTATTGATTGATCAGGGGATTGGGAGAGGTAGGGTTGGGGAGAATAGTTTTAGGGAAGAGACGCAGTGGTAGCTGGGTGAAGAGCTGTGGTAGTCGAGGAGAAGGGTAGTGGGAGCTGGGGCAGTAGTAGTTATACAACGGTACACGACCACACAAGCAAAGTTCCAACCACCATGTACCGTCAATATCATAATAAATCTCCCCCAGCACGTCAGAGTACTCAGCCAGGATGTCCTCCTCACCGCTGCCCTCCGTCACGTTCTCTGCGCGGGTCAGAGATGAGACACAAGGATCAGAGATGAGATACAAGGGTCAGAGATGACACACAAGGGTTAGAGATGACACACAAGGGTCAGAGATGGGACACAAGGGTCAGCGATGAGACACATGAGTCAGAGATGAGACACAAGGGTCAGAGATGAGCCACAAGGGCCAGATATGAGACACAAGGGTCAGATATGAGACACAAGGGTCAGAGACGGGACACAAGGGTCAGAGATGAGACACGCGAGACATACAGTCAACCCAGCCACACTCAGGCTTCCAGTCACTCCATTGCCTCAAAATGATTTTCATTGATATATCATTCGCCATTGTGATTTCATTGTGATCTGACTGGGGCGTAGGAGTGTGAAGCGCCATTATCGTAGGCCCGAGTGTAGTCGGGTTGACTGTAAAATCCTGGTTGGGCCCCAGTTTGGGGCCTCCAGATCCCCTCAAGAAGAGGGGATCAGAACTCAGTAGAGTTCTAAGCTGGTCAACTTTAGCACCACCGTGGCTGAGTCAGTTAAGGCAGGAGTCTGTGAATCACCAGGTCGCAAGTTCAAGTCACTCCATTGCCTCAAAAGGATTTTCATCAAAAGCACCAGCTGTTGATGGGAGACACGCAGCAGCTTGGGTCTGAATCCTGTGGGGTCATAGATTTTAAGTGATTCTAAGCTTGGGGACCAACCAATCTTTGCTCACACACACACACACACACACACACACACACATATATATACATATATACATAATGTGTGTTTGAAAAAATTAAAAAATCCTCTTAGTGTCTTAAAAATTTTAAGATTTTTAAAACTGAAAAAATTAATCAGGTTTTATTGACCAGAATTGATCAAAGGCCTGGCAATTTTTTTTTACATTGCAATCAATTAAATTTCGTTCAGTGTAGATAAATGAATTTCTAATAGTTACATTATTATTCTTATACTGCAATTAACTTAGTTTCATCACTGGAAGGCACCAAGTGGATTCTTAATCAGTGAGGGATCAAATACTTGCTAACTCCACTAGTGGCCCCAATTTCTAACTCCACCGGTGGCCCAATCCTTGACTTCACTAGTGGCACCATCCCTAACTCTACCAATGGCACCATCCCAATACATCTACAGGTGCTATAGCATTAATGAGGTGAGAACTTTGACAGCCCTTAGTCACCGTAGTCAAAGCTGTGAGGGATGTCATTGGCCGCTGCTGCTTTGGGAAGGGCTCCCACCGTCCCTTCATCAGACAGGTACTCATGAAGCTCAACAGTTCCTGCACGTAATCAGGTTTTATAGTCAGGTGGAATCCTGTTTTTCATGTATATACTGCGAGTCGATCAAAAATTTAATTTAATGCTTGAAATAAATTTTATGTTGGACAAACAAGTAAAAACCAGCGTTGAATGTAATGAAACGCCATTTTTTGGGCGAGACCCGGAGGCTACCCGGAGCTTATCCAGCCTGATATGCTAATGTCAGACTTTGGCATCAGTTATGTGTATGGAGTTCTGTGGGCCTACTGGGGACCACGAGCCAGAATCTGGCCCCCCTCAGAGAGGCATGGGGAGCAATGGCATACAGAAATCCCCCGTGTAGTTGGAAGCATTCTATATCTGCCATCGACCGGGTCAGGCACCCAGAAAGGTAGGCATCCCAAAACAAAAACCTATTCTGGTGAAAACTGCCACAAAAAGTCGAACAAATGGATAGAACTCCCCAAATAGAAATAAGCAAACGAACATGACGTCACACATCGCCGCGCCACTGTCTGTGCAGCTCCCCCCTCCCCGGGAGGGGAAAGGGGAAGCCCCAGACCCTCACGCCGGCCATTCACCCTTCAGTTCTGAGGCTGGACATCAAAACATGCGAAAAACTGCCGACCGGGCAGAAGGGAGGGATGCCAGGGAGCCTCTGGGGTCTCACCCAGAAAATGGCATTTCATTACATTCAACGCTGGTTTTCTGGGGGGAGCCTCTATGACTCCCCGGAGATAACTACCCACAGAGGACATAGAGGGACTTACCCGGGAGGCGGTCGCTGTATAACAAACTAGGTTTGTTGTAGGGAATTATTCAGTATAGATTCTCATAGACATGGGGACCTAGTAGTTTTGAAAATTTGGAGTCAGACGGTAGTCGACCTGACTCGGCAGAGAAAAGGTCATCCCTCCAGGGATTAGTGGTTAAGATTACAAGATGGTCGCCGCCTTTGTCTTAAAGCAACATATAATGAATTGTTTAACAAAATTCTGTAATTTAGAGAAACTCCAGTTTTCATTCAAACTGTATTCAATAATAAACCTGTTCAAGTATCAAGAGTATTCTCAATTGTAGGAATAATGAGTAAGTCACCGTCAGTGACGTCACTAAGGGAGGACTAGTCTCGGATGCGGATGAATCTTGACCACCCTGGGTCAAGGGTCACCAAAGTCCTCCATATCTAATAATTCACAAAGTTCAAATAGCCATATTGTAATTGGAAATAGCCTTTCCCTAAGATGCCTGTACGATTACCATCAGTTTATAAGAGTTCAACCATCTGGAGCATGCAGCCCGAGTACTGTAGAATAACTTCTGGCTCTCGCACTTCTGAAAGACAGCCACCACACTTGAAGCACAGAGCTGAAAAATCACTGGAGCCAGAGCACACGACCTCCACCTCTTGCATCAGCCTTAGAACTGAAGGATGGATGGCCGGTGCAAGGGTCCGGGGCTCCTCCTTCCCCTCCCGGGGAGGGGGGGAGCTGCACAGACAGCAGCGCGGAGACGTGCGATGTCATCATTGTTTGCTCATTTCTTATTGGGGAGTTCTATCCACTTGTTTAGCTTTTGGTAGCAATTTTCACCCGAATAAGGGTTTGCTTTGGGACACTTACCTTTCTGGGTGCCTGACCCGGTCGATGGCAGACATAGAATGCTTCCAACCACACGGGGGTTTCTATAGGCCATTGCTCCCCTTTGCCTCTCTGAGGGGACCAGGTTCTGGCTTGTGGTCCCCGGTAGGCCCACAGAACTCCATCCACATGACTGATGCCAAAGTCTGACATTAGCATATCAGCCTGGATAAGCTCCGGGTAGCGATAGGGGTTTCCCTTAGAAAACTTTGACAAAGAATAAGGTAACATAACTATAACTTAAGGATAGGTTTAAGATTTTAATATATTATAATATACAAATAACAGTATGTAAATCAGTTATTGAAAACAAATATAATTAAATCATCTTATAATAAAAATTGAGATAAAATTAATTGAAGTGAAAGACCATAAATTAGACAGTGTCATAATCTATTAAACATGTGAAAAATGTATAGTTGTGTCAGCAGTAATCCAGAGTCACCTGTTAATAGACTCGTGCCATCTCATAATCTTTGTTTACTGAGCTTAATATGTTTATGTGCTGTGCAAGAGCAATGTTGAATAAAAACACTTGTATAATAGACAAAACCCAAGATGTAAGAAATTACAAATTCTTGAAGCAATCCACATAAAAGCAGAACAACCTACCATAAATACTCAAATTACGGAACTATTCACTCTACCCACCATGAGAGTAAGAACAAGACCAGAACGTCAAGATACCAACATAGAAGACACTGCTCGACAAACAGCGCCCACTATGCTTGATTAATCTTTGTATGTACCCTATTTAACCTTCTGATCCTTAGCTTCTTTTCTCCTTCATGTCTACCCAATGTATACCCTTTGTTTACACCTGACCCCATTGTTCGATCCATTTGTATTCACCTGACCCACTATTAGTATAAAATATAATGTTCTGTACTGTAACATCACTTGAGAATGAACCATGTAGGTTCGAAACGTCGTGCGATTTTACAATAAGTGTAATACATTCTTCAGTTATTCAATTCTTTTTCTTCACCTTGAAAACGAACATGACTTTTGGTGAACTCCTCTTCCAGTTGAACCCTGATGCAAGAGCATTAGTAAGAGGGATAGAAGCCCTAAATCAGAAAATAGTTAATACGGAATATGCTGTCATATTCAATGAGACATGCATATATATATATATATATATATATATATATATATATATATATATATATATATATATATATATATATATATATATATATATATATATATATATATATATATATATATATTATGTCTCCGTATATGCATATATATATATATTATGTCTCCGTATATACATATATATATATATATTATGTCTCCGTATATACATATATATATATATATATATATATATATATATATATATATATATATATATATATATATATATATATATATATATATATATATATATATATATATATATATCCGTATATATATACATATATGAATATATATATATATATTCATATATGTATGTATATACATATATGAACTCACTTTTTGGCCTATTATTCAAGGCCCGATTTGCCTAATAAGCCAAGTTTTCCTGAATTAATATATTTTTTCTAATTTTTTTCTTATGAAATGATAAAGCTACCCATTTCAATATGTATGAGGTCAATTTTTTTTTATTGGAGTTAAAATTAACGTAGATATATGACCGAACCTAACCAACCCTACCTAACCTAACCTAACCTATCTTTATAGGTTAGGTTTGGTTAGGTAGCCGAAAAAGTTAGGTTAGGTTAGGTAGTCGAAAAACAATTATTTCATGAAAACTTGGCTTATTAGGCAAATCGGGCCTTGCATAGTAGGCTGAGGAGTGCGTTCTGGCTACTAGGTACGATATATATATATATATATATATATATATATATATATATATATATATATATATATATATATATATATATATATATATATATATATGTCGTACCTAGTAGCCAGAACTCACTTTTTGGCCTACTATTCAAGGCCCGATTTGCCTAATAAGCCAAGTTTTCCTGAATTAATATATTTTCTCTAATTTTTTTCTTATGAAATGATAAAGCTACCCATTTCATTATGTATGAGGTCAATTTTTTTTTATTGGAGTTAAAATTAACGTAGATATATGACCGAACCTAACCAACCCTACCTAACCTAACCTAACCTATCTTTATAGGTTAGGTTCGGTTAGGTAGCCGAAAAAGTTAGGTTAGGTTAGGTTAGGTAGGTTAGGTAGTCGAAAAACAATTAATTCATGAAAACTTGGCTTATTAGGCAAATCGGGCCTTGCATAGTAGGCTGAGAAGTGCGTTCTGGCTACTAGGTACGACATATATATATATATATATAGATAGATATATATAATTTGCAAAAAATTATACAATTTCAGACCATACCCACTTAACATATACAATTACAGTGAATGAAAACAAAACTTCAAATGTAAACTGACTCTCCTAGATGAAACTTGAGCTTCATAAGCAATAAATAATTGATTCACAATAATTCGATTCTTGTTTTTGACGCTGAACAAGTCAAGATTTAGGGCTTAAGAGATAAGAAAAAGGGCAGTGCAGAGGACAATGGCCGATGCTGAAAATGTGAAAGACTGACAGTCAGGAAACGGAAATCATAGGCTAAATTTGAAGACTGCGGGAGACTAGCGACGAGATCAAAAGCTAGCGCTCAATAGTCAGCGACTTGTTCTAAAGATACCATAGGCAGCAGCGAAGAAGGCCAAGAGCCACTTACTGGGGTCCTCGAGGTTGGGTTCCTTGTAGTCGAAGTCACCCTGGGGCGGCGGCTCGTTGATGCTGGGGTATTGAACGTCCCTCTCTGTGTGCGTGTAGGCCCATGCCTCGTTGGGATTCCAGAGTGTGTAGAGGTGCGTCTTCACCAGCATCCAGAAGATATTCCCCATCATCCAGTTGGCCGTCCACCGCAGCAGCTGAAGAGGCTATAAGGAGCAGGGGATGTGTTAATTTGAGAACATAGTTTCGAGAGGACACTAAACTTGATCTATGAACAGTAATCATCACCAGGGGTTCCTGCTGTAGTAAACTTCCAACACCTATTTCATGGTGTGTCCATACTATAAGTCTATATTATTACTTAAAAAATATTTGTTTGGAGAATTTAAAACTGTTTACAATACACTTTACAACAGTAACCAAAAGGGAAGAGACTAAATAAGTGAATTACATGCAAGCAATTAAATAATATTAAGAGTTTAATAAAAACAAATTGTGACTATATACAAATAAAATGAAAAATTTAAAAAAAACAATAATAAGACAGCATTTAAACTTAAATGTAACCATTAAAGTTTTCAAATAACCCACTTGTCCACAATAAAAGTTCTCCAAGTTCAACTGCGTATGTTTGTTCACTCACCGTGTCAAGTATGGAGGCCATACTCCGCTCCAGCTGGCTATCCAGACACACGGCCTGGTAGTCGAAAATGCGGATCCTCTTGTAGACCTCACTCTGCACCAGGGACTCCATGATGGTCCCTTCCAGGGTGCCGAAGAACTTGCCGGTGTCGTCCTCGTTCTCGGAAGCGATGATGAAGCCATTGTCGTCGAGCAAGTAGCAGTCCAGGGACTTGCTTTCACATGTCTTGGCCTTCTTGCAGTTGGAATCCCGGGACGGGTACGACGGGCACTGGAAGTAAGGTAGAGAGGGTGAGGCGAGAGATGAGTTAACACGACGAACACTGGACAGGAGATAGACAGGGAGAGGTGACATGGAGAATAACATGATGATTACTGGACAGGAAGCAGACTGGGTGAGGTGACATGTAAGGGGTAACACCTCAAGATGTAGCAAAGTTGATACCCTTTGGTATAAACACACTTCACAGGAGACAGCTAATGAGAGTCTGAGGAAATGAGAGCACCAACCTTGTAAGTCTCGTTCTTGAAGTACTCAACAAACTTGTTATGCTTGATGGTAACACCAACGACTGCCGCTGGGGCCTTGCGGAAGGAGTTCTCAACGATGAAGATGGCTCTAGTGGCTGTTACGAGCACCTCGTCTGGGTCCCGGGTTGCTACATGAGGAAGGAGGCGAACACCTTGTTAACGTTAGCAGAGAACAAACACACAAGGAGAAAATTAAACAAGAAAGAATATGATAGCTTCAAATGTAATTTAGAATGATGCATGTCGAGGACAGCTTTCGGATACTTAACACCCCCGCCCCACCCCCCCTGAAGCACTGACTAGCGTCTGGACACCTAACACACACCCCAAGGCACTGACCAGTGTCCGGACACCTAGCACACACACCCAGAGGCACTGACCTGCATCAAAAGGCACTGAATACACATAGGCGTCAGGTTCCTCCTCATAGTAGTCGATGGCTCTTTTGTACCACACCTCATCGATGGCCTTGTTGTGGATCTTCATGAAGTGCCTGCAATAGTAGGAGGCTTATGATAAACTATAGGGTTATGCAAATGTCTTCACAAAACACACACATCAGTAGTTGATTTCAAAACCATCAGTAGTTTCAAAGCATCACTGTCCCTTTACTCTCCACTACACAAGCCACTGCCACTCTCCAGCACACAGTGCCCTCTCCCTCCTCCTGCACCTGTCAGTCCCCTCACCAACCGTCTCCAACTTACGGTTCGTCCGAGTGGTTATTCTGGCCGTTCTCGTCTTCTGGGTTGGTCTTGGTGAGGTCCAGCCACCTGGTGAGGCCACTGCGGGTGGCGACGAAGGCAGTGGTGATCCCGAAGTTATGTCGGACGCTGCTGCAAGAGTGTGTACATGCAGGGTTAGTAACTTAGAACAGGTGCTCCAGCAACTCTCTCTCCCATGGTATCCCAGTGGCCACAGAATCCAAGAACAACGTTGATTCAACGTCACTTTTGGATATTGTGCTCACAGGGCATAATGGCCATTGCAGCAAACACTCAACATAACCACAACATTGTGTTTTTGTTGGTATAATGCCATGCCCTAATCCCCACACCCATCCCACTGCAGGATAATCCTGATTGGGGTGGGGAAAAGGGGGGGGATGCCCCATATGGAGGAGTCACCGTTCTCAAGAGAATTTACCATGATTTGTTACAGGCTAATAGTACTATACAAAATATGTCTTGTATCGCCATTATTGTTGGATATGACAGCTTTATTAGTTTTTACCTTGAAATTGAGATAAAAAGTCTCATGTGAGTAGTTCTGTTTCTAAGACAATCAAATAATTTGATTAAACTCTTAACATGTTTTCATCTTTAACCAACAATAAAAATCAATATTCATCAATTAACATTTGCATTTTATTTCTTATTTTCTTTTAAATTGTATAAGGGAGTACCATCTGTGGCTGGAAGAGGGGGGGACCCTTAGCGTCAGAAGAAAGCACACATAATGCATAAGAGGGAATGTTTAAGTCCCCCTCCAATACAGTTTCTATGTTGAATACAGTTCTTTTCTCTTTCCCCTCCAATACAGTTCTTTTCTCCTCCCACCCCCTTCCTTCCTTCCTTTTGTGTTCTGTTCTTTATTAGATTTTTAAAGGTTCCTAGATGTACATTAGTTAATACAGTGAGTGTTTTTTTCATTAAAAATACAATACATTAATTGTACAATGTATTATTATTGCATTAACATAATGCATTGACTTAATTAGTTATTATTAACTAATTAAGTTAATTAGTTATTACTAATTAGTTATTATTAACTAATTAAGTTAAGTTGCATTATTATTATGTTAATGCAAATGAGAGTTAATACAATGAGTGTTTATATTAATATATATATATATATATATATATATATATATATATATATATATATATATATATATATATATATATATATATATATATATATATATATATATATATATGTCGTACCTATAGCCAGAACTCACTTCTCAGCCTAATATGCAAGGCCCGATTTGCCTAATAATCAAGTTTTCATGAAATAATTGTTTTTCGACAACCTAACCTACCTAACCTGACCTAACCTACCTTTTTGGGCTACCTAACCTAAGCTAACCTATAAAGATAGGTTAGGTTAGGTTAGGTAGGGTTGGTTAGGTTCGATCATATATCTACGTTAATTTTAACTCCAATAAAAAAAATTGACCTCATACATCATGAAATGGGTAGCTTTATCATTTCATAAGAAAAAAATTAGAGAAAATATATATTCAGGAAAACTTGGCTTATTAGGCAAATCGGGCCATGCGTAGTAGGCTGAGAAGTGCGTTCTGGCTACTAGGTACGACATATATATATATATATATATATATATACATACATACATACACAGTGTATGTATATATACATACACTGGGAAAAAAGTGGGTTATGTGGGAGAAATTTGGCATTAGTATACAAACACATCTTAATATTTTGTATCCATTTTTCAGTACTTTTCTGATATTTCCAAGGCATTAAAGATGCCCTGAGACCTCCACATGCTCCACACACATTCCATGGCATGTCCACATGCATACAACATTCCCTGAGACCTCCACATGTATACAACATTCTTTGGCATCTCCACATGCATTCAACATTCTCTGGCACCTCCATATGCATATTGTAAATACATACAAAACATGCACCAAGGTGTACTACATTCCTCAGTGAACATACTCTGAGAATTTACTTTAGTCCAGAACTATATTCATGACTAAGGTATATGTGTTGGCCAGTATGCTATTGTGGTGACCTTAATAACTCTTTAGAGGTTGATAGGTCTTGCTGCATCTCCCTCTATCTTGCACAGGTTACAATCAGACACTATATAACCTTACATTCAGTACTGGCCACTGTTAGAACCTGACCTACTGGGTACGTATATATTAATATAATAGCACTCAGAGGTGCTGGTTAGCCAATCAGATGCATTCCTAGTTGCTTAAAGCCCTTCTCTTCTTAATGACTAGAATGAAACCTCATTAGCTGTCTAAATAGTTTGACTAATCCAACATTAGTTGTCTAAATAGCTTGAATATTCCACCTCTGGCTATCTAAATAGTTTGACTACTCTGTCATTGGCAATCTAAACAGTTTTAATAATCCACCACTGGCTATCTAAATAGTCTGACTATTCTGACATTTGCTATGTAAACAATTTGACTATCACAAAATACTGGCTTACCTTCTGCAATAAAAATACATGCTCTATTATCCTTACCTCAAAGATTCCGAACATACACAAGTCCAAACTGAAGGTTGCAATTGTGCAACTCTACTTTGCTGCTAAGTTATATAACCTTGCAGCTCAAGGTACTTACATTGTTGCAGGATTAATGTTACAGCATTTGTTATACAGAGTTATAGTTTCTTAAGGCCATATTGTTAGTGTTAAGAGTGTGGTGAGGCCATATTGATAGACTGTGATGCAAATATTGTGACAGCATGTCAACAAACCCCAATGGAGAAATACTATACCTGTATAACAGCATTATGTAAGTCGCCACTGGGCTGGTTGTGAGGAAAGTCGATTAATTAGTGAGGGGGAAGTTGATTGGTTAGTGAGGGGGAAAGTTGAATGGCTTGTTAGAGAAAGCTAACATGCTAAAGAAGGCCAAGTTTGGAAAGTGGCTTTGGTTAAAATTGGTTTGTTAATATAGTAAAGTTGTATAGTATAGTATAGTATAAAGTATAGTATAGTATAGTTGGTTGCTTAGTAAAGGGCAAAGTAAGATTTAAGTCGATTAGAAAGTAAACAAATATATTATTTTATTTGTGCATGTGTAATCACCAATATGTATTTATATGTACTTGCTGGCCCATATATGCTCTTTGACCCCACCTTTTGCAGCTGATTCCATTCTTCTTGCTCTTAATACCTCTCCATGAAAATATTTTAGAGTTATCCTCACCTATTTGCTTTTTTCAGTTCATCACACTTGCTATCTATACTCTAATACAGGACAAGTGCAGCCCCATTACATCTCAATGGCTCAGCTTCACTAGTAGTTACTTTATTTCCATCAGTGGTCTCGTGTCTGATCAACGCTTAAGTTATTATTTTTCTCACTGCTTCTGAGAATTTCACATGTGATAATGAGATGCCTTATTCTTTAGTGTTAGAGCATTGCCAGGTTTAGTTTAGTCTTTAGCTCCTGGGACCTCTCTTGCTCGAAACCTACAGAAGTCCTTCATATTGGCTTTGTGCTTTAATATGTGAGGGATTGCATACTGGAGCTATTTTCTCTAGTACTGATCTGACATCGATAAGTTACAAGGCCCTGAAAGTTTCATCCAGATCCCACTGGATGCATGAATGCATGGAATTTTGATCTGCTGATGAAGACATCTTGATAACATGTGCATACAGTGATGGGATTTTTGCTCTCCAATGATTGAGTACTGTCCTTGTGGCCTCCTTTCATTATAATCAAGCAGGAATTTCTCCGGCACTCTCTCAAGAGAGTGAGATGATCCTCCCAGTTCATACTGCTATCTTTGTTTTGTCTCGTCTCATATAGACTTTGTGTCGGCAGCAAATAGTGCAGTATATGAGCTAATGGTACAACTTGTCCTCTAACAAAGAACGTCGCATTACGATTGCATGCATAATATAAAGTAAAAAATTCTTGTACTAGAAAATGAAAGCGGCTGGTGACGTACTCTCCCGTTTTCTGTTTTGGTCCTTTAGTTCCTCCTTTATTTTATTTCTCTGGTAGGTTAGGAGAGTACACTTAAAATTCGCCATTTTCTTGACGTTGGGGAAACCTTAGGAGGACAGGCTGAATAAATATGCATCTCGATTTTTACTGTTGCCTGTACTCCTCTCTATTCCTAACACTCTTTACTTAGTGTTGAATATGCATTCTCTAACCCAACCCAGCATACTGTACTTATACAGTAGTACCTACATTTTCTAATTTAATCCATTCCCAAAGATGGTTCGAAAACTGAAAATTCGAAAACCGAAACAAATTTTTCCATAAGAAATAATATACAGTGGGGCCTCGATTTACGATGGTAATCCATTCCCAGAGACGGATGGTAAGTTGAAATATTATAAGTCGAAGCGATTTTTCCCATAAGAAATAAAGGGAATTGAATTAATCCGTTCCCCATCCTCCAAAATATTAACTTACAAATACATTTTATACTGAATACAATTTTTTTCTCTAGCTACAATACAGTACATATGTTTATCTTACCTTTATGGAGGACTCTTGATGGAGTATGGAAGATGGTGAGGAAGGGGGAGGAGAGGTGTTATTGTTTGGAAGGGGAGTCCTTTTCCATTATAACATCAGGCAGTAAGGACTTCTCCGGGGTACACACACTGGCACATTTTGCCTGCATACCACTAGGACCTGCTTCTAGCTCACTGCTTGATTTTCTCACTAGAAATCGTTCAATTGAAGATTGTTTTTCCCTTCTTTCCCACACTTGTCTATAGTGAGGCATCACATTGTCACTAAAAAGATCAATGCAACGGCCTGTTACAGCTTTATCTGGGTGATTCTTTTCAGCAAAACTTTGCAGTCCTTCGCATACTGCACACATTTTCTAAATTAATGAGGAAGGGACATCCTCTAATGCCGCCGCCTCCTCCTCTGAAGATTTATTGTACTGCCCAGCTAGTTCAACAACACTAGTACCATTTTCATGTTTACATATAACCTCTTGTTTTTCTCTATGGTCATTCTTACATGTGTTTTCATATGTTGAACCTTACCACTGACTTTCTTGGGACCCATGGCGTGATATATAATAATCAGTTTTATGTTCAAAAAGCAAAAAATCACCACAAAAACAGAATTTCTTATAGACGCGATCATCCCTAAGCGGGCAGCTCTAGTAAACCGAGGCAGGTCGGCCTGCGTGACCAGGAACCACACGCTCGGTCGACCCAAACGTGTACCAACAAATATCGTTAGTCGACGACACTATCGTAAGCTGAGTCGCATTTTTCGATCAAATTTACATCGTAATTCGAAATTATCGTAAGTTGGGGCAATCGTAAGTCGAGGTGCCACTGTACATTGAATTAATCCGTCCACATCCCCAAAAATATTAACTTAAAAATACATTTTATACATACTGTATAAATGCTTGTCTGTAGTGAGACATAAATTATCTCACTATGATCTCTTGTTTTTCCTCTGTCGTCATCCTCCCAACTATTTTCTTAGGTTGAACTTTACCACCGGCTTTCTTGGAACCCATGGCTTGATATAATAAGAATTTTTATGCTCAGAAACCAAAGAAGCACAAAAACAATGAAATTCTTCACAAAGAATTCTAGTGCGGTTGTCACTAGGCGGGAGACACTGGTAAACTGAAGCGCACCACGTGCTCAGTCGGCCTATATGTGTATCAACAAACTCGAGCACCGAGGCAAACCTCGAGTACCGAGTTGAATTTCTCGAAGAAATTGAGCTCGAGACCGAAAAATAAAAAACAGGGGCATTCGAAAACCGAGGTTCCACTGTACTTATTTATGATTGCATGCATGTGTGACTGTGTGTATTTATTAGTTGTTTGTTTTTACTATTTGTATCTGTAGAATCAAGCTATTAGCTCTTAGACCCCACCTTTCTAACCAATTTATTTTTCCTCGATTATGTCTACTATATATAATTCTCTCTAACACATGCACATACACACACATTCCCAGGAAGCAGCCCATAACAGCTGTCTAACTCCCAAGTACCTATTTACTGCTAGGTGAACAGGTGCATCAGGGTGAATGAAACTCTGTCCATTTGTTTATGCTTCTGCCGGAGATCGAACCCGGGGCCCTTAAGACTACGACTCCAGAGCGCTGCCCACTCAGCCACAAGGCCCCTAAATGTGTATGTATGTTTGTGAGAGAAAGAGAGATAGGGAGATAAAAAGAGACAGAGAGAGGATCAAAAGGGCCAAGGAGAGGGGCTGTCCACGGTGGAGTCACTTTGATGGTGCAAAAAAAATTATTAGTGCTTTCTGAAGAAGGAAATACTATCACACTATATGAAGGTCGAGAGGCCTTAGCACATCTCCCATGTGTGCGGAAGGTGGACTGGAATGTCAAGTGACCAAACATAACAAAACCAAAAACATTTATTGGTAAACATTCAATACTCTAGTATGGAATATTATTAAGTTTTTTATATTAATTAAAATTTTAAATTTTAACTAAGTTTTCCCTCATTTTTATACAAAAAATAAACAATTTATTTGTTTAATAATAACAATTAAAATAAATTAAAAACTGAAGACATGGGTCTTAGTAAGAAAACTCGACCTTCGAACATTTATTAACCAAAAAATTGTGCTTCACCAACAAATACAAATACAAGCAGTGCTGAACACATCACACTATAATGCCTCAACCTAACCTAACCTCTAAAACATAAGAACCTAAGAATTAAGATATGATAGATAGATGATATAATGTATATATATATATGTATGTATGTATGTATATGTGTGTGTGTGTGTGTAAATCATGAAAATTAACACGTGATGAAAAATGTGACAGTATCAGACCACAAAGGAAGAATAGTAACAGGAATTTCCTTAAGTACTTTCGTATTTAATAATACATCTTTAAAAGAATGGATTTACAAGTCAGTAGATTGGATATATATATATGTATGTATGTATGTATGTATGTATGTATGTATGTATGTATGTATGTATATGTATGTATGTATGTATGTATGTATGTATGTATGTATGTATGTATGTATGTATGTATGTGTATATATATATATATATATATATATATATATATATATATATATATATATATATATATATATATATATATATATATATAGATAGATAGATAGACAGGAGAGAGGTCAAGTGAGGTAGCAAGGAGAAGTGAAGTGAAGTACAATGACAAATATATGAATGGGATTGGGTGGATATAAATAGGAGCTGCATCGTATGGGCCATTAGGCCCATATGTGGATATTAATATCATGGAATTGTGGATATTAACAAGGTATTAGTGAGACAAATGTGAATCAATGATCCTATTCAAATCACCCTTTAAGTGATCAATCAGTAATGTATCTAGATTATACGAATCACTGCTAATGTTCAAATTACCTGATTTTGTAATCAGTATTAAAGCAGATTCAATTATGTTCCTATTGAAAGTGCTTTTACAATTCATTATTAAAGAAGCCATCTTCCAATCAATTTGGTGAGAATTTTTGTTTGTTTGTTCATTTGTCAGAAAATTCTCACCAAATTGATTGGGAGATGGCTTTTTCAATAACGAATTACAAGAGCACTTTCAATAGGAACATAATTGAATCTGCTTTAATACAGATTACAAAAACAGGTAATTTGAACATTAGCAGTGGTTTGTATAATTTTGATCCATTTTTGATTGATCACTTAAAGGGTACGATGCAGCTCCTATTTATATCCACCCAATCCAATTCATATATTTGTCATTGTACCTCACTTCATTTCACCTCTCTCCTGCCTATATATATCCAATCTACTGACTTGTAAAT